GATTGTAACCGTGGCAATGAGATGATATACGATAGAATGAATGTAAAACTAATGTTCTCCCATGTAAACTATCACATAATTCACAATAAAACATTTTAAAACAAAACAAAACAAAACAAAAAACAATTTCACCTGTTTCTTTTTGTATTTTAATGTGGCTACTGGTGGCGCGTGGAATCCTGGTGTGGCGCTGTGGGTTAATGCGCCAGACTGCAAAGCCGTTTGAATTGCAAGGTTGGCGGTTCAAGCTTACCAGCTGCTCCTTGGAAACCCTATACAGGGTCGCTATGGGCCGGAACCGACTCAACAGCATTTCACAACAACAACAACTGGTAGAATAGTGGTTACGAATTGGGCTGTGAACCACATGGTCAGCAGTTCAAAACTACCTACCAGCTGTTCCACGGGAGAAAGATGAGGCTTTCTGCTCCTGTAAAGATTTACAGCTTCAGAAACCCTGTATAGGGTCACTATGAGTTGGAACCGATTCCACAGCACATAACAACAACAACTAAAAAAAAAAAGAAATGTGGTAGCATAGTGGTTACAAGTTGGGCTGCTAACCTCAAGGTCAGCAGTTCAAAACTACCAGTCATTCCGTGGGAGAAACATGAGGCTTTCTGCTCCCATAAAGATTGACAGCCTCAGAAATCCTATACAGGGTTGCTATGAGTCAGAACCAACTGCATGGCACAAAACCACCACCACCACTAGAAAAAAGTCTTTTGTGTGGCACTGTAGAGTAAGTACTGGACTACTAACCACAAGGTTCGCAGTTCAAACCTACCAGCTGCTCCTGGGAAACCCTAGACAGGTCACTATGAGTTGGAACTGACTGGACAACACTTAACAACAATCAATAATGAAAATTTTAAATAATATTGTAAACGATAATGGTATCTGAAGCCTCCAATAAAAAGAACACTATTTTACTAATTCCTCACCAACATTACCTACCTTCTCTCAACAAATATTTCTTTCTTTCTCTCACACACAAATACCTCCATGCATTAATTAAAATTATATTAAGATAGAGTTGGCAGAAAGGTAACACATTGGTGTACAGAAAACAACAGAATATCCAGAAATCCGGGCCTCAAACAGATGCACTCAGAGTCAATCCCTGTTGAGAACCTGCCTTTCCTGGCTACATTACACTGAATCCGAATTTGCATTTTTAACAAGATCCCTGTGTGAATCCAGGTGATTCTTACAAATCTTGTTAAAATGCAGATTATTACTGAGCACACCTGGGGTGGAAACACAGCTTCTTACAGTGGATTGAAACACAACAAACAAGTTCAGAACCCTGCCAGAAATATACCCATACAAATATGCTTAGATGGTTTTGATAAATATATAAAAACAATTCATTGGAGGCAAGAGAGCTTTTCTAGCTAGTGGTGCTGAAGTAAGAAGACATTTGTTGTTGTTAAGTGCCCTTAAGTCAGTTTAGCCTCATAGCGATCCTCTACAGGAAAAATGAGCCTAGACTACAGAATGACGCTTGAAACAAAAATCAACTCAAAACGAATCACTGATTTAAATGTCAAACATGAAACTATAAAACTTTAAGAAAATAATGTCGGAGAAAATCTTGACACTGAAAGTATGATCCATGAAAAGAAGAACTGATAAACCGGACTTCAAAATTAAAAACTTTTACTCTGCAAAAGATATTTCTTTTTCATTGTAATAAATATGTGACACATTTGCCAATTCAACATTTTTCACAGGTACAATTTAGTAACATAAATTACACTGATAGGTCGTGCACCTGCAAAAAAAGAGGACCCACATCCAGACTGACTGGTGCCAACAGTGGCAAGCAACAGCAATGGAGTCAAGCACATCAACAATCAAGAGGTTGGCGCAGGACGGGGCAGTGTTTCATTCTGTTGTACATAAAGTCGCTGTAACTCTATACCAACTCGACGGCACCTAACGACAACAATTTATATAAAGAGTATTTTAATATTTTCTTTCGAGTCTTATAAATAGAAAAAAACTATACTTACCTTATTTAAAGCATGACCAATATGAGCATCACCGTTTGCATAAGGAGGTCCATCATGGAGGCAAAATTCTGTCTTTACTTTTCTTTCTCTTTGCCAAGAATAAAGTTCTGAAAATCCACATTTCTGTTTAAAAGGAACATACAATGCCTGAATATTATATAAACCCATACTCCTGAATATCGCCATAAATAGCCAGCACTTGCTCCTTTTTTTTATCCCATTCCAATCTTAAATACAAGTAGCGAGGGTTCTAAAAAGCACATCTGAGAACACTGCTCTTGGCACCTTTCAGTAGTTACCATCATTATCCTCATAATAAAGTTCAAACTTCTTATGTGGCACACAGAACCTTACAAACAAGGGCTTTTTTGTTATTTGTTACCATGTTAACTCTGATTCGTGGCGACCTTTTGCATACACAAAATGAAACACTGGCCAGTCTTGTGACAGTTTCACAATCTTGCCATAGTTGAGTCTATGGGTTAAATTATATCTATCTATCTGAGGGTTTCCCCTGTTTTCACTGGCACTCTACTTTAACAAAGAGATCGCTCTAGCTCTTTTTGATATATTCAAAGTAAGCGAGCCAGTCCTTTAACAAAGGACTTTAACAAAGACAAAGTCCTTTTCTAGCGATTGGTCTTTTTGATATATACAAAGAAAGCAAGCCAGTCTGACACCCGCCCTAGTAAGATACATTCTGGTTAAATTTTTTCTAAGAATGCTTTGTTTGTTCTTCTGAGAATCCATGATATACTTAATAGTCTTCATCAACACTACAATTTAAATGCATCAATACTTCTGTCTTCTTTTTTCATTTTCTAGTTTTTGCATGCATATGAAGTGACTGGAAAGTCCATGGCTTGAGTGTGGGGCATCTTAGTCATCAAAGTGACATCTTTGGTATTTAAAATTTTTTAGTCTTTTGCAACAGATCTGCTCAATGCAAATCAATGCTCAATGCTACTACTTCCAGGGACATTGACAACTTCACTATCTTCATCACTTATCAAGGTGTTTTATGTCTGTCTAATTGAAAGGAGTCCTGGCATAGTGCTATAAAATAAGCACTGAACTACAAGATCAGTTTGAACTGTGAGGTCAGTAGTTCAAACTCACCAGCTGCTCCTCACCAAACCAAAGACTACATAGTCTTTGACCTTCATCAGTTTAAGTACTTCAAAACATTTTCATTTTTAACTATGTTGGCATCTGGATATTTCAGGTTGTGCCACTAAATTCTTGAGCTGTCTCCAAATACTTTCGTATTCTCCACTATGTACACCCATGGTGAATGACTTCAAGATCCCCCACGTTGTTGATGTTGTTAAGTGCTGTCAAGTTGGTTCCAATCACTAGCAACCCTGTGTAGGGTTTCCGAGGAGCCAATGGTGAGTTTGAACCGCCAACCTTGCAGTTCAAATAGATTTGCAGTTTGGCCCATTAACCCCATAGCACAACACCAGGACTCCAAGATTCCCCACACACTCATATCTTATTTTTGTAATTCTTTGGCCTCAATTACACACTGCATTATAGACCCACTCTGTTCCCCTCATCCACTGTGAGACCTTGAGTTAAGTCGTTTCACCCCTATAAGACTGTTCCCTCACCTGGAAAAAAAAGTGAATATCCAACTCAAAGTACTAGTATGAAAATTAAATATAAAAACATTTAAATTTATCACAGTTCCTAGCATACAAAAGGTACTAAATAAAAGTGTTTAAAAATTCAGATAGCCAAAATAGCTTTGTTACACGAATACTTTATGGTAAACAGATCTTTGGAAATATTAATCTCCAAAATACCAATTATTTTTAAATGTTCTCAGTTTATATAAAGTGACAAGTCAAACTCTGACCTTGGAAAGTGCCGTTTAAGACAAAAAGCACAGTCTCAGAAAGGGACTTAGGGTTAGTATGCTAGTCTCCTTCACAGAGTTGCAATTCCAACAAGGGACCTACTGGCTTGAAGGCCTGCAACTTTATCATGGTTAATTCTTATAGAAACTACTGACAAGGTGTCTAAATTGGATTTACGATGCTTAAGCTAGAAATGGGATGCACTCTTGGTACACGAGCATTGCTGATTTCTCCCTAATAGCCTGCTCCTCTTACCACTGAGGGGCAAAGAAACTTGTGGGAAGCTCTGAGTTCCACCAGATGACGGCACCTGGAGCCTGTGTCCATTGCAGCCACCCTCCAGGGTTTGGGCCGCACGGGCGTGACTCCCGGGGCGAACCCGTCCCCCTGGCCCCTGGACCTAGTGGGGCTTTCCTTTAAGGCCCGGATCCCAGCCACCGCCCCCGACACGCCAAGGCGAAGCCCGAACCTGCTGGATCTCCAGCTCCATGTCAGGCTGCTGACGGCCCAGCAGCTTCATGGGGAATCTGGTCTGCGGCAGCAACACCGTGTCCCGGTATTTGCCACTATTCGGGTTCGGCTGCTGGTTACTGGCCCCGGTGACTGGCCGCACCAAAAGCCTCCAAGTAGTTACTCGCCACCCCGGGCGACACGGAAAGCGGGGCAAGCCCCACAGATTCCGGGCCGCAGCCAGGGCCACCGCCCCCGGCCCGCGAGGGCGCAGGCCCCAATGCATGGCAGGGACGCCCTGACGTCCTCGTGAGCTCCGAAACTTGTGCTCCCGCCCGGATTTTACGCAACTTATAGCCCAAAGAGCCTCCGGGAGTCGTACCGGAATGCGCACGCGCGAGGGACCCGGAAGGGGTGGGAAGGAGGCGGGAGCTCGGGCTCCAGGTGGTGTTGAGGACCAGTTAGCTTTGCTTGTTGGCTGCAGCTTCATCCGGGCTGGGCGGGCTTTTATTCTAATCACAGTACCCAGATTTTTCATATTTAAGATAAAATGGCGGCCTTTTCATTATGTCTTTCTTTTTTACTGTCTGCTGTCTACACGCACACACAAACACGACCAGGCACAAAAAGGATAGTCCTTAAACTTGAATTCCTAAATGAATATTGTTTTCTTAATTTTTGGCAACGCAATAAAAATTAAAAGTACGTTTTTTTCCCAGAGCCTCAAAAAGCCAAATTATCATTAACAAGACACACCAGGTCAGAAAGAAAGACCTCTCCCAGGATTGATGTATCGATTAGTCAATTCTGATTCATAGCGACGCATTATAGGGTTTCTGAGGAGCAATTAGTGGGTTTGAAACGCTGGTCTTGTGGTTAGCAGTCCAATAGTGCTATTGCCAGGCGGTGCTGCATAACCTCGAACCGCTGTATGTCGTGGATGCCCTCCACTCTCCTTAATGCCACAGTAAACAAAACAACTTTATGCAGAATTGTGTTGATGGTGCTTTTTATTTTACTTATTCATTTATTCTTTAGCCTAATTAAGCGTGTGGGACCCAAAAATAGAATCCCAGGGTGGTGCAAACAATTAACGTGTCCACCCAACAGAATCCTTGTAAGGACCGGTGCTCTACTAAAACTCAGCCACTGACAACCCTATGAAGCAAACGTTTTATCTGTTGAAATCATCTTAAGTAACAATCACAAAGCGTTTTAGTAAATTAATGTTTTAAACATTTAAAGAACAAAAACCCTATAAAGCAGTTTTATTCTGACATACGTGAGGTCACCGTGAGTCTGAATTGACTCCAGGCAACATTTTATTTTGAATCCAGAAAAAAGTTAGGAACTACACAGCTCAAGCGCTTTGTGGGTGGTTAAGGAGCTCTGGTACCGTAGTGGTTACGAATTGGGCTGCGAACCGCAAGATCAGCAGTTCGAAACTACCAGCTGCTCTGGGGGAGAAAGATGAGGCATTCTGCTCCTGTAAAGATTAACAGCCTCGGAACCCTGTGCAGGGTCTCTATGAGTAGGAACCGACTTCACAGTACTTAACAACAACAAGTGGCGCTTTGGGTTATCGCGCTGGACTGCAAAGTCGGTTTGAACTGCAAGGTCGACTCCTAAACCGGGTTGTTATAAGTGGGAACCGGCTCCAAGGCAGTTATCAATAACAACAACAGTCCAATACAAGGACAAAGAATCCTGGTGTGGCGCTGCTGGACCGCAAGATGGGTTTGAATCGCAAGGACGGCAGTTCAAACTCACCAGCCGCTCCTCCGAAACCCTTTACAGGTTCGCTATGAGTCAAAACCGACTCAATGCCATTTAAGTCCACTACGAAGTGGGCTAGAGACACCTACACCCAGAGTGAATCCTTAAATACAGACACAACTTTCACTTTTACAAGATGCAATCTGAGCCTATGAAAAACTTGGAGGAAACACGGAGAGGCGTTTTCTAGCCAATAAGGCCGCTATGAGTCGGTACCGACTTGATGGCACCTAACAACAAGGGATTCTGAAGGGGTAGAGTCGAGGTAGCTGTTTTGCGCTTGCGCTGAATTTCCCGCATGCTCAGTATGAGGTAGGATTTATCCTCCAACCCAAACTGAGCTGTTGGTAGCTGGTAAACGCTCTACTGGAGGCGACGAGGGACTTGTTGCTTGATAACGCGTTTTTGGTTCTCGGAAGTGTCTTTCTTGTCTCTTTGATCCAGATTTGTCACTGTAAGTAAGTTTCCCCTCTGCCAGTCCGGTCTAGGACATTGGACAGATGTGAATTTCCTAATCCCACCTTTTCCACAGATAGGAGGAAATTCAAGGAATTTATAGATATACTTAAAAGTTTACGTAAATCAGATCGCCTCTCCAGATTTTCAGTTTCTAACCACTCCAGGTGCTGAGTGTCAGCATTTTAATTATGTATCTCTGCTCTTATTTTCGTGCTCTTTTATGACTAATTTATTGTAGGAAGAACAAGGCAAACCTAGCTATTATGTTGGTTATTGTACCCAAATAGCAGAGACTGCCTTACGCATAAAATTAAATATCACTAAAGTAGCAAATGTTTTTCTGGAGTTTTGTTTTTTTCAACTTGGTGTGTTGTGTTTTTTTTTTTCAAGTCGGTGTGTATAGACTACTACAACATAATGACTAATTTTCAGGTATTGCTCTTTCTGGTTTATAGTATCAAAAGAAATAAAGGATCTATTTTTTGTTGTTATTACTGAGGTCAGATTTTCCAGAGGACAAGGACACAAGTGCCTTTGCCAAACTGATGGAATTAAACTAATATCAAAAAGAAAACAACTTGTAGTTGCCAAACTTTAATTACTGTCTCTTGAAGCCTTTGGGTACTAAGTACTATGACTCTCTCTTCCTTTCTATGTGGGGACAGATCTCAAGAATAGCTGTGTCCACTGTTTTCAAATTTTAAGGAAAAGGGCAATTTTTAGGGAAACTTCTGAAGTACTGTTTGAAAGACAACATCCCTGATACGCATTTCCAGAATTATCCAGTCTGCTGGTGTGGTGCTGTGGATTAATGCGTCAGACTGCAAGGCCTTTGAACTGCAGTTGTTGGTTCAAGCTCACCAGCTGCTCCTTGGAAACCCTATACAGGGTCGCTCTGGGTCGGAACTGACTCAATGACACTTTACAACAACAACAATAGCTTTATTAGGTAATTTATTCAGGATGGTAATATTTTTGTTCCAGTTTTCAAAAAAATTCTTAGCTGTGTTCTTAGTCAAGTGTTCAGTACAAAAGGAAAGATGATGTTTTTTTAATATGCATTTTCCTTCTTCCTTAATCCTTCTGCTCAAAAGTTGTCATGGTTGATAATTGCTTAATGTTCTTCCAGATATTTTCTATCTGTATGAAAGTATCTGCATCTATAGCCATCCTTTAATATCCACAGGGAATTGGTTTGAGGACACCCCACACCCCAGGATACCAAAATTCACTAATGCTCAAGTCTCTTATATAAAATAGCGTAGTGTTTACATATAACCTATGCACAGCCTCCTGTATGTTTAAATCATCTCTAGATTACATCTAATAGCTAATACAATGCAAATGCTATATAAAGAGCATTCTGTGCTCCTTCTTGGACTTTGAGGGATTGCTTTAGCCACATAATTGCTTTCCTTCCCCAGTTATTTCCTGGTGTCAGTTAGTTACATCTGCCAATGCAGAACCCACAGATAGAGTGCCAACTGTGATTCCTTTTGTTCTCCACAAATGGAGATACATAGGGTTTCTTTATTTACTTAATTTAACCTTGGTAATCTTTCTGTATCATTGTTAAGTGTCATCTAGTCAGTTCCAACTCATAGTGGCCTATATAGATAGGATTTCTGAGGAGCAGCTAGTGGGTTTGAAATGATGACCTTGTGTTTAGCAGTACAGTGCTTATCCTAAAATGCCACACCAAGACCCCTGTTTCTGTATCAGCATATATAGATCTGTATTTTTTAAAAATAACTGCATAGTAGTCCCATCTGAGTGTACTTTGCCTTATTTAATCTTGGACATTAAACTTGTTTCCAGTTTGCTGCTGTTATTGCAGCAAGCATTCTCATACATGCATATTTGTAGGCCTAGGGATTTGTATGGGATTTTCTGATAATATAATTGCCGATTGAAAAGATACATACAATTGATTTATAATAAAGATTTTAAATGTTCTTCCCAAGAACATTTTACATCCTTCTTGACATTGCCCAGGGGCATGTTCTGTCACAAGGTAGCAATGGGAAAACTCTATACATCTATGCTAGTCTTATAAATGAACAGCCATTTCTTATTTTCTAAATTTCTATTTCTTTCATTACTAGTGAAGTTGAGCATTTCATAAACTTATTGTCCATTGCTATTCTTTTTCTAGGAATTAACCTATTCACATCCTTTGCTGATTTTTATATTAGCCTAGTCATCTTTTGCATATTAGTATTTAAGAACTCTTCACATATGTCTCACATATGATACAAACCTTTTTTCTCATTTTGTTAATTATTTTCACTTTGTTTATGGAATTTTATATTTGCAGACATTTTTTGTAATCATATATTAATCTAGAATAATGTGGGTTTTTTTAATGATTTACAGTTGTCCCAGCCCCATTTATGTATAGTTGACTTTTCTCCATGATTAAAATAGAGCCCTGGTGACATCATGATTAAGCACTCAACTGCTTACCAAAAGGTTGAACCCACAAGCTGCTCTGTGGGAGAGACAACTTGGAATCTGCTCATATAAAGATTTGTTGTTGTTGTTGTTAAGTGCCATCAACTCAGTCCCGACTCATAGTGACCCAGTATAGGTTTTCCAAAGAGTGGCTGGTAAGTTTGAACTGCCGACCTTGTGGTTCAAACCTCCCTTGTAGTCCAGTGCTTTAGCCCACAGCACCACACCACAGCCTAGGAGACCCTATGAGGCAGTTCTGGTCTACCCTGTAAGGTCGCTATAAGTCAGAATAAACACAAGCTCACACAACAACAAAGTTTGGATGTTTCTGGAATTTATTTGATTCCACTAGTTTTTCTTGGTGACTCAAGACTAAACTTCCTAATTACTATACTTTTATATCATAGTTTGATCGCTGTTAAGAAGAATATCTTGCTCACTGCTCTTTTTGAGAAATTGTCATGCTCACAATTTTACTGTCCCAGATGACCTTGAACATTAATATCATACAACCAGTTTCTGAAGAGAAATGATCTTAATGTTTTGATTGGGAACTTGCCATTCATTTTTACATATTCATCCTTACTGTGTTTACCACCTTTTTATTGAATTCAAGATGACTAGTCCAGTCAAAAAGAAACTTTAATTTCGTTCCTTTTTTTCTCTATCCTTCTGAACTAGCCATATTGGCAGTGGTAAAAATTTCTCAGGTGGATGAAATGTCAAGTTGATGGCTTTATTCTATAACCTGTTTTCATATCTCCTCTAAGCCTCAAGCTCAGAATATAATGAAAATAATCTGTCTAGATGTTTGTATTATATTAGTTATCATATCACATCACCAGGGGCAAAATAGTGTTGAAGAAACTATAGGAATTATTTGCCCAAACAGAGCCTCAGTCACTCTGCAGGGTAGCTATTAATAAGGATACTTCTAATAGCAATAATGGTTAACCAGTATGTAGTGCTTACTCTGTGTTGCGTATTGTTATAAGTGCCTTATAAGAGTGATCTTATTTAAAAATCACAATAGTTCCTACTCTGTCAGTGGATTGTTAGCTCCCTGTCTCAGAGTGAGGTACCAGATTTTAAGCAGCATTCCCAAGATCACACAGCTAACGTGTGTCAGTCCCAGGATTTGAACAAAGGCTATTGGTGCCAGTGCACATGGCTCATGACCACTGTGCTGTTTTTGAGCGATCTTTCCAGAAGACATGTTCACAAAAGGCAGTGTTTGAGGACCCAGAAGGTGTAAAACTGGTAAAGAAGAAAGTACTTTGGGTATAATTTGAACTGCTCTAAGAAAGTTACCAGGAGTGCCATGACACTGTATGATAAGCACTGGACTGTGAACTACAAGGTTGACAGTTCAAGTTCACCAGCCTTTCCATGGGAGAAAGATGAGACTTTCTGCTCTCATAAAGATTTACAAGCTTGGAAACCCTATACAGAGTCGCTTTGATTCAGAACCGACTTGATGACACATAACAACAACAGATTTTAGGTTTTAATTATGATTAGCCACTTTTTCTTTATACCAAGAACTAAAAATGCATTCATTTGTTTAAAATATATATAAGAAAAATATTAGGGATGGTGGTAGTAATATCTCATTACTAATTTAGTACTTCGGTGAAAATGGTGGAAACTTTTTTAATTTGCCAACCAAAAGTAATTTGTGGAATCTGTTTATAAATCATTATTGTACTTTATATCAAATTTCCTATTCTTCCATTCTTATCTCTTGTGAAACCGTGAAACCCGTCTTAGCTTTAAAGGGTGATTCATGAGGATAGACTACATCTGGTGACAAAGAAGAAAGGAAAAAATAAAACAAAACAGAAACTTTTTCTTTGGCAGAAAATAATGTGGACTTAGCAAACCTAAGGGGAAGTGGTTTTGTGAAGCTCACAAGGCTCACATAATTGTTTTAACAGGCTCAAAGGTAAATGATAGCTCTGAAAAGTTGTAACACCGCCATGTAGTAAAGGGAAATGATCTGCCTTTCACAGATGGAGTCTTACATAACTAAGGGGTGCAGTGAACATACCAACACAAAAAATTCCCTCACTGGTTAACATGTAGGCAGTTTAAATGCATTTTCTGAAGACGACTTTTACAGAGCAGAGTAAATCAGAGACCTGACTGAATTATTTCTCTTGATTTCTGTTTAAGATGTTGTTAATTAATAATCATCACCAGTTTATTCCACATGTAACACCTGGTTTGCCAAGAAAAGGACTTGTAGCCTGATTATTATAAGTATAATAAGAGAAGCAGTTCATATCAATAGAAACCCATTTTATTTTCATCTGAATTCAAGGATAGTGTCCATTACCTCAGAGTTCTGGTAAGACACTATCAGATAGGTACTGAACTGCTAACTGCAAACCCGCCAACCGCTCCTTCCTTAAAAACCCTATGTTGGGTTTCTGAGTCAGAACTGACTCCATGGTACTTAACAACAACAACAACTCAGTTCATTGGAGCAGTCCCAAGAAAGCACTAATATGTATTGAATTGAATTCAAGTAAATATAACCAGTAGTTGTCTTTGAAAGAAAAAAACACTTTCTCGATTTCCTTTTAGGACTGATCATGGCTTCCAGTCACACTGTGTTGATGCGGTTGGTAGCTTCAGCGTATTCTATTGCGCAAAAGGCAGGAGTGATAGTCAGACGTGTTATTGCTGAAGGAGACCTAGGCATTGTGGAGAAGGTACTGAAAGTCTCATCTCATTTCATACCAACTTTATTTATGTTCATTAAGGTTTGGCTAAAGGGTGTAATGGGCAGGCTAACCCATTACAGAAAAGAATCTGATGGTTCTCTTAGCTACAAGACCCTTAGTTCAAATGGATTCCCATTTCTGATTTGAACATTACTCAACACTTTCTATAGGCTCAGTCCTAAAGCCACAATGTAATTAGTAGCCTGAATCTGATTGAATTTTCTTTTTCATTTAATAGTTATTATAGTGTACTTAATAGTTTTCTATTTTAAAAAATAGGAAATAGAGAAAAATATCAAGAAGGAAACAAAAATCATCCATCATGCTTCACTATTATTTTGAATCACTGCCTTCCAGATTTTTTGTTTGTTTATTTTCTTAGCATTCCTTCTTTGTTTGGGTTGATTTTATGTTGTGACTATGCTAAATTTTTTGGAATCCTGGTGTGGCACTGTGGGTTAATGTGCAAAGTCAGTTTGAACCACAGAGTTGGCGGTTCAAGCTCACCAGCTGCTTCTCGGAAACCCTATACAGGGTCACTGTGGGGTGGGACTGACTCAATGACACTTACCACCGTTGCTACATTTTATGTTAGGATTTTATATCTTCTAGTTAAAGAATACTAGAAATAAATATCCATGAAGAAAATAAGGTAACATTCACTTTGTCCTCTGTACCAGTCAGGCACTTGAAGTACTTCATATCTACCTGTTCACACCCTATTTTAAAAGGGGTAATAGGGCTGAAGCAAAATGATGAAGACTGCCACCATGTTGGTAGAGAGAGCAGGAACATATATCCTGAAGAAAGAAGTTTTAGCATGGGTTGAATGTGGGCACCATAGTTATGCTATGTATTAAGTATTTCTGCAGTTTAATGTTTACTTAGATTTGAAAAATAGAAATTCTTTCTATATACCGACAAATTAGAGAACTATTTGAATTATTGGAATTAGGACTAATTTAGTAGATGTTATGGAAATGATACGAGGATTCATGTAAAGAGTCCTCTTCAGATAACGAAAGGTACCATATTTAACTTTGGCTGCTAGGAAATTTTATAAATTTCCTCTCTCTCAACCTGAGATTTTGTAATAGGATTTCTGAACTTTGGGGAAAACAAATGTTCTAAATAATTTAAAAGCCTCTTTCTAAACTTTGTTGTTGTTGTTAAGTCCCATCGAGTCAGTTCTTTAAGCACTTTTAATCCTGTGCGATAAAGTCAAGCAACTAACTGGCTTATTTGGTGTTCCATGAAAAAAAGTGGGAGTGTAATTTAAATGATGCAGACACTTATGCATTAAGAATCAGCTTGAGACCAGACTAATTTACACTGTTCTATTGTGGAGTCCTGGTGTGGCGCTGTGGGTTAATGCACCAACCAAACTGCAAAGCCATTTGAACTGCAATGTTGGCAGTTCAAGCTCACCAGCTGCTCCTTGGAAACCCTATACAGGGTCTCTATGGGTTGGAACCGACTCGACGGCACTTCACAACAACAACATTGTGCTGTCCTGTCGATTCTGACTCACGCAGTATTATAGGACGAAGTAGACCTGCCCCATAGATTTTCCTCAGCTGAAATCTTTATGAAGCATAAAGGTGTTTTTCCCTGAGCGGCAGCAGCTGACAGGTTTGAACCACCAATCTTTTGGTCTGCAGCTGAACACTTAACCATTGTGCCATCAGGGTTCCTTATTGGTGGTGGTAGTTGTGTGCTATTGAGTCAGTTCTAACTCATTGTGACCTTGTATAGGGTTTCCAAGGCTATAAATCTTTACTGGAGCAGAAAGTCTCATATTTCTACCAAGAAGCATCTGGTGAACTTGAACTGCTGACCTTATGGTTAGCAGTCCATTGCATAACCCATTAGGCCTCCAGGCTTCCTTTATTTTAAATTAGTTCTGCTAAAATTTGCATTCTTGGTTGTAGACGAGTGCAACAGACCTGCAAACCAAAGCTGATAGACTGGCGCAAATGAGCATATGCTCTTCACTGGCACGGAAATTCCCCAAACTAACAATTATAGGGGAAGAGGTAAGAGCTATCAGGCCTGCAATATTTTTAAATTCGTGTTTACTTTATGCATTTAAAACTGATACTTTAATGATTTATAAATCACTGTTTTAAGTGCAAGCATTTTATCTCATGTCTCACCACAGAAAATTAATGATTTTATTCCTTGGGTTTGTAGGAAATTTCTGATTAAAGTACTTATTTTAGTCCACCTTTAGACCCTGTATCTCAGTTCTTGGTCATAAAAGCTGTGACCATTTTATAATATTCATCATTAAGCTATAAATTGAGCAGAATTTTTAAACTTTGGAGTAAAATGCATTTGGGTATTTTATTTGTTTGAAGGCATACTTACCCAAAGACTCATTAACACTTTGAAACTGAAGGAATTAACATTTCATGTAAGTGAGAGGGTAGAACTACCTAATGTCACAGCTACTTGTTGTAGTAAGTGTGTGTACTACTTTCCCTTGTAGTTCCTGTTCAGAAGAATGAAGTTGGGACAGTCAGTGATCAACTTTGTTGAACCATTTATGGGGCTCCTTTGCAATTTTATTAGGTTTGATTTTATAGCCCTAAAATTAAATGATATATGGGAAAGTAAAAATCTTCTGTGACTATGTTGTTTTTGCCGAATGCCATCTGTGACTACAGTGAAGGGTTTACATTGTGTTTAGCTTCAGTATTATTACCCTCAGCATTTTTCTGCTTTAGGATTTGCCTGCTGAAGACGTGGACCAAGAACTTATTGAAGACGGTCAGTGGGATGAGATATTGAAGCAGCCATGCCCATCACAGTACAGTGCTATTAAAGAGGAAGATGTATGGTTCATTTTTATACTTCACTTCCGGTTAATCTTTGTTTCTGTAATAACAACAACAACAAGTTAAAGATATGATTCTAGATAGCCGCCATGTTGTTGCTGTTAAGTACTGTCAAGTTGGTTCAGACTCATAACAACCCTGTATAGGGTTTCCGATGTGGGTTTGAACCGCTGACTTTGCAGTTAGCAGTTCAGTGCTTATTCTACTGTGCCACACCAGGACTCCTGATAACCACCATATTTTCTTAATTTTAATTCATTTAACACCACTCAACTGAACATTTACTATGAGTAAGGCACTTTGTTACATGATATAGAGACTATAAAGAAAATGAGATACTGTATTTTCTATCAGAAAGACACCTTCACGTGCAGCATCTTGGTTAGCATAGTTAATGGCCACACATCTTCAAATTGCATTGAAAGTCCTAAGTAGTAGGAATTTCTTTTCCTTAATCTGCTGCCTAGTTTATGAACTGTTCATTTTTCTGATATATACGAGCTGTGTCCTTAAGATAACCAGACTGTTGTTAGTAAAGCATAATAAGAATCAGCTCCTGTATGAAAAATGAGAGGCATCTATTTTTGGAACTATTCTGACAGTGTTCCCGGTACCTCCATCTAGAGTTCAGTGTGTTCAGGCATGGTGTTTAGAGCTCAGGTGACAATAAACTTTTATCAGTTAAATATTTGATATTTTAAATTCCTAGGTCAGACCTTTCCCTGTTTAAATGGAGCTTTTTAATGATTACAAAATAAGGTGATTTGTTGGGGTATTTTTTTTGACTATGACAGAATTGATAATGTTGACTTCATGCATCCATCCACAGCATAATTTCAAAATTGAAAAATAAAAAAGGGGATCATTTTAATCTACTAAAATCTATTTTTAAAGTTCTGTTTTTACCCTTTGGGTATTTCTTCTTTGCTATTTAGCTTGTGGTCTGGGTTGATCCTCTGGACGGCACCAAGGAATACACTGAAGGTTAGTATCTCTTGTATTTGTCTTGGGACAGCAGGAGAAAGTGCTGTTTTCTTGTGAACATTTGATATTTTGTTTATCATATGAAAAGCCAGAATCATATTTTATGTGTCTTTCCTAAAGATCTGTTCATAGTCATCCTATCTAACTATACTTAGATATCAATCAATGATTGTCAAGACAGGGGGAGAAAATTCATCTCCTTCAATTACACCCACTTACGTTACTCGCCCTTAAATGAGAGTCACTAACATATTAAACATCGAAGGACTTTATTGAACTCCTAGCTTAAAGGGGTAGCAAACACTGTTGTTCCACCACCAGCATCCAGGCCCATCCCACTTACGTGCTAGACTGCGTCTCCCCTCATCTGTGAACCTCTTCTCACGTCACAGTCTCACCTTTAAAGATGGGTTTTGGTGACACAATATAACATTTCTTCTTTCTGAAGTTATCTAAGAGGAGGAAAATAAGAAAGCAGCAAATTTAAATAAAGTTGGTAATAACAATTTTTAAAAAATGGACCAAGCTTGGCATCAGAATTTTAGGTTCTAGAAACAAAACCACACAGGTTTTCTTAAATTATTTCTCAGCTTCATAGCTTAAGAAAATCTCTCATAATTACTAGAAATAAAACCACTTCTTTCTCTTGTCTGTGGATATCATCTCATGAGTGTGTGTGTGTGTGTGTGTGTGTACACTGAAAAAGTCAGTATAATCCTTTGAGAAATAGAGGTACTCTAGACAGCGCTAGTGTCCAGAAGAGCACATAGACGACACATCTTGTTCAAAATGCAGGCCTAGGCCCTACTCACAGACTGTATTTGTTAATATTACGCCAGTTGATTTTAATACTCCTTAGTAGTCTATGAATGTGACTTTGAAGTGTTTTGCTCTAAAGGCTTGAAATACAAGTGTAGAGCATGCTCCAGCAAATAGCAGTGATTTGGAAGGTGGTGGAGACGGCACATAGGAATCTAGTGATAATGACTTCAGAATTATGATGTTTTTCATTGGTTTCCAAGTTGTACTAATGAGAGCATTGTTATCAATTCAGTTAAGTCATCTTATACTCAACTTCTGTTTCTTGGTAGTCCTCTTATAATGTGTACATTTTGCCATAAGAATGATTGATCATGGATGAATCACTGCTTACTCCTTATGTTTACTACAAAAATAACTTTAGTAACTGACGTTTGAAAGATGAGTCATAGCATGAGAAAGTTACTTAAGTAGCTATCCATTTCTTTTTTATAGGTCTTCTTGATAATGTAACTGTTCTTATTGGAATTGCTTATGAAGGAAAAGCCATAGCAGGAGTTATTAACCAGCCATATTACAACTATCAGGTACTACTATAAATGATGCAAGAAGTATTTTATTAGTTAAATAAACATAGAGTTATATGATTCCTGATACCTAATCCAGTGGCTTCTAGCTTGGTTACACAAGTAATCATCTGGGAAGCCTTGTAAAATACACAAGACATACTGAATGGAGAACCTATGGAAGAGTTGATACCAGAAATGTATATGGGTATATGTGTGTGTATATACTGGATGTATTTATGTATACTTTTTATGTACCCCTTATGATTCTTATGCAAACGTTGGGAGCTATGATATGGCTTTTGAGTAGTTTAGATATCAAGGCTCCTGATTTGCAGGTGTTTCTTAAAGCATACTGAAGATATGAAGCATTTTGACCAAGAAAAGATGCTAGCCATTATGCTTTCCAGGTAGCATCATGTAGTGTCTACATGACAGTCAGTGTTGATAACAGAACTAAATATGCTCTTGTGCTCTTTCCTCTTCTTTCGTCTCGTAACTACTTTGACTTTCTATTAAACTTCAAAGGACTTGGCTCCTTGGAAGGAGACTAGTATAGTTCCAAATTGGGAATGTATCATTAAATCACATTAAAGAAAATTTTCAAGGAAATTGTTGAGAAAAAATACTTAAGGTATTTACGGTCGTGTGAGCTTGAGAGAACTTTGAAGAAAACCAAGTAACCAGAGTAGAGGCTATTATTTCTTTGTTTTTTTATTTAAAAGGCAGGATTTATCTGTATTTTGAAGATAAATTTGGTTTGTCCTACCATTTATATAACTATACATTTTTGTAATCTTGTATGTTTTAAGATGACTTACCCAAATAGTTATATATTATTGGGAATGTCTCTTATTAAATTTCTTGTGTCCATTAATTTCTTTAATATGACTTTAATGTTTATACAGTATTGTATCCAGACATGAGTTGATGGTTATTGTATAAACTTTAAAGTAAGTTAATACTGTTATTTAAAAGAGGGGCATTTAATTCAATAATATTGTAATGCATGGCAACTTTCATAAAAAAAAAAAAAATCTAAGAGCTTAAAAACGAATAATTTTCATCAATTCTGTCTGAGATTAGAAAAACTGTATTCATTTTCCACAGAACAATGAAAAGCAGAAGTTAAGGGGACACGGGAATGAAGCCAAGGTGAGAACTTAGCTAGGGTTTTGGTTCCACTAGTAGGCAGAAGAAGAGGTAGGCAACATGTGGCACCCAAGGCACATCCCATGTGCCAATTCATTCTCTCCTGTCTTGTGTCTCCCCTTCATACCTCACACTTTGCCACTGTTCCTCTCTGTGCACTCTCTTTCCTCTGTCTTGTTTTTGCCTTAAAATGTGTTGCAATAGGTAGAAAAGTTGCACAGCTTTGTTGGTGATGTTTGGGGCTGAATGTTGGATTTTAATCATCATATCTAAAATAGGTAACATTTATCAAGAGCTTACTCTGTGTGACCAGGCACTATCTCATTTGCTGCTCACAACAACCCCATAAGTAAATCACTACCCCAGTTTTAAAGATGAAGGAACTGAGGCTAGAAACTTAACAAAGGTCATCCAGCAAGTCATTGAGAGAGCTGGGATTCACACCTTGGTCCAAGCTCTTGCCCATCACTCTATATTGTCTGATAGAAGACTTAACAATTCAAACTTTACTATTGTTTCTAATAGACAGTGAATCTGGTATGTGCTTAACGAAAACATCGCAGCATGATGTAAAGAGACTGTCATTCTTTTTATATCAGAGCTAGCTTCTTAACCAGTATGAATCTTAATCTTAACTCATCAGTAAGATGAGAATGTTAGCCTTCATTACCCCCCAGAATGTTGGTGTGGAGCCTCTAAAGAGACACAGTGTAAAAGACTGAGCCCTCTAGAACACAAAGAAAGGCCAGCTGGCCACATCGTGGGATGGTGTGTACCTCATCATGGACACCAGATCCCCTGATCCCATCCGCCACCTGAATATTCATTTCAGTGGAAATATGAGTGGTTAGGGACCAGAATACTTGTAAACACTCTTTGTGTGCTTCTCTCTCTTTATCAGAGTAACTGGAGAACTAAATTAATAAGTAGGTTTCTTAGAAACATGGAATTAAACTCAGTGACAAGCAAACTAAATTAATACTTAGTAACACCATAGAGCCCATCTGTACTTTTCAGGTTCTAAGTCTCTCCTGTGTATGGAATCAAGAGGAAGTAGAGGATAAACCAGGATATTGAGCACTTAGTGAGGACCACCATTGCCGATTTGTTTTGGTTCCTTTGTTGCCCTGTGTGCAAGGAGAGCTATCCAAGACAGCTTCAGCTGTCAACCTCTTCAGAACTTGTAGAGAGCTGCCTTGCCCAAGGTCCTGCTGTCACCAAGCCAGTCCACATCCAATGACTGATATTTGCCAGGGTGTAAGGAGCTCTGATAGCGTGTAGTGGTTACAAATCGGGCTTCAAAGCCGCAAGGTCAGTAGTTCGAAACTACCAGCTGTAGCGCAGATGAAAGATGAGGCTTTCTGCTCCTGTAAAGATTTACAGCCTCAGAAACTCTGTGCAGAGTCGCTATGAGTTGGAACCGACTCCATGGCACATAACCACCACCACCACCACCAAACCAGCCAGATTAGCTTCAGAGCTCCCCATGTGGTCAGCTGGGGCTGTTTGTTAGGCCTGCATCACAGCACAGCTTCCCCATTGACTTCTTCTGCTTCCTTCCCCCACCAGCCACAATTGTTAATCCCAAATGCACTCCTTAATGAGCACCCTCCTGTCTCAAGAGTCTGCTGCCTGGGGAGCCTAACCAGCAGCATAAACATATTTCACTGGCACAGCACCTTCTGCACTGCTAAAAGACAAATAAGATGATGTGTTAGGAAGTATTGTGACAAGTAAGCTGAGGCAATATGGTTTGATAGGAAGTGTTGTAGCTTTGAACACAGATGAGCCTGTGTTTGGCTAGGATTTTCCTATTGTCCTTGGTCAGATTACTTACTTATGTCACTTTTGTCCAAATCTCACTTTTGTGATCTGGAAAATAAGACTGGTAACAACTGTTTTATCAGGTAATTGAAAATAATTCATGCAGACCAGTTAGCATGGTATATGTCTACTGTTAGTCTTAAGTCAGTGACAGCTCGTGTGGTTTTGGTTTGGATGTAGGGATAATGGTGTTTTCGATGACATTTTATGCATCTTACTTTTCATAAAATACAGATTATGACAAAATGTCAGTAATGGCAACTCTTCAGTATCAGCCTATGCATGTCTTCTATCTCCATGGCAGCAAAGTATATTATCATCATGACCGCTTCGCATAGTACTAGATCCTTATTGTTCCATAGATACTGAAAAGTAGTAATCAGCATATGATGTTTCATTTCCTGGGGGCTTCAGGGCCTTTTGAAAACAGCTATTTTTAAATACAACTATGAGAAGACTAGGAGGTTTAGAAATAGTCTTCAGTATATGATTCCATTCCTGAGAACTTCATGGAAAAGTCAAACGTTCCATTCAGAACCCTTGAAACCAGAACAGCAGTGAAACTGATCAGTTGATTCTGTCAGGGAAAGTGCTTCGTTTATGATACTACCCTTGCATTTTAAATGTTATTGTGTTTTTACTTATAAAATTATCATGATGCTACTATACCTAACCATTCTATTTATGGCCAACTTTTTCTTTGTTTATATAGGCAGGACCAGATGCTGTGTTGGGAAGGACAATCTGGGGAGTTTTAGGTTTAGGTGCCTTTGGGTTTCAGCTGAAAGAAGTCCCTGTTGGAAAGCACATTGTCACAACTACCCGGTCCCATAGCAACAAGTTGGTTACTGACTGTGTTACTGCCATGAACCCTGATGACGTGCTGCGCGTGGGAGGAGCAGGCAACAAGGTACAAAAAAGGTCTGAAGTCTGCTGTGTAGTTGAATCAGTGAAAGAAATACTGATGTTTTTAGAAAATGGGAAATATGACTTTAAGGGGAGTGGCCAAAAATTCTAACTTGCCCTTAAAAGCATATTTCAACAACATTTAAATTTTTTTTTTTAATTTTTTCTTCCTTTTACATGGAAGTTCATATATGGAACTAGGATTATGAAGCACAAAAAGCCATCCTAGACTCTTTCCGACATCACGTGTTATCACTCTGGGCCTATCTTAATATCTTCTTAATACTTCCCTAATCAGTCTCCTCTTGTACATCTCTACTCTAGTGCTCTAGACCTTCAGAATGGTTTCCCTGTTCAGTCTTTGTCTCCACAATGCCACTTTGCTGTTGTTTTTAAGTGCCCTTGAGTCAGTTCCAACTCATAGTGACCCTGTATAGGGTTTCCAAAGCTTTTCATCTTCAAGGGACCAGAAGGCCTCATCTTTATCCCATGAGGCGACTGGTAGGCTCTCACTGCAGACTTTGTGGTTCCCAGTCCAGTGCTTATCTTATGGAGCCACCGCATTCCTACAGTGCCACTGTTGTTGTTATTGTTAAGTGTTGTCGAGTCGGTTCCAACTCATAGTAACCTTATATAGGGATTCCAAGGAGCGGCTAGTGAGTTTGAACCACCAAGCTTATGATTCAAACCAACCTTACAGTTCAGTGCTTATCCTACAGCACCACACGAGGCTACCACAAAAATGCAAAACCTCCTGCTCTAAATCTTTAGATGACTGCCATTTCTGACAAGTTACAGTCCAAGCCTATTAGCATAGAATATAAAGACCCCTATAACCTGGCTCCTGCATGGCCCCAAAGGCACATCTCCTGCCCTCCGCCAAGTCGTAGTGTCCTTTAGTGATACTGAACTGCATGCAGTTCCCAATACATGTGCAGTTTCACACTGGTGTGCTGGGAAACGTAGCTCATAGACCTTTATTGAACATATGAAAGTTTGATAGCAAGTTCCTGTTCAGTCATGCACATGCTATGAGTGCGATCATTTTACCTGAGTGTTACAGGAATTACAAAGATAACTGTTTAAACAGCTGTATTTTAGTAGGAGCTCTGGTAGTGTAGTGGTTACGAATCAGGCTGTGAACCACAAGGCCAGCAGTTCGAAACTACCAGCCGCTCCATGGGAGAAAGATCAGGCTTTCTGCTCCCATAAAGATTTACAGTCTTGAAAACCCTGTACAGGGTCCCTATGAGTCGGAACTGACTCCACGGCACTTAACAACAACAACATTTTGGTAGTAAAGTCTGAAGACTTTTGAAAGTACTTTTTAGACTGATCAGCATTGCATTACTGTTCAGACTTTTATTACAATTTTCAAATTATTGCATTCACCGATATTCCTGCTTTATATAATTGTTGTTGTTGTTGTTGTTAAGTACTGTTGAGTTTGTTCTGACTCATCCCGACCCAGTATAGAGTTTGAGGCTTTAAATCTTTGCGGGAGTAGAAAGCCTTATCTTTCTCCCATGGAGCTGCTGGTGGGTTTAAACTGCTTATAATGTGGTTTACAGTCCAGTGCTTATCCTACTGAGCCACTGCATTCTCCCCTTTATATAATAATGGTCAGGCTTTTGTTTTTTGTTTTTTTGCAATTTAGAGGGCATTATTTAGTTTTTGTACAACAAATATATATAATCTTTTTTTCAATAAGGAAGAAAATACATAAATGATGAAAACTTTATTTTACCTATCTTGGAAAATGGAGACTTTTCATCTCTCTTCATGTAGGTCCTTTGAGCAGGTTTTTCTTCCTCAAATCTCTGTATGCATCTGTTCTACACTCATATCTTTCTGCCTAAATTCTATTGTTATTTAAACCTGCTAAAGACTTTAACCTAAGTTAAGTTAGAGTTTAAGTTTTTCCTATTTCTACAACAATTATTTCATAGTTGAGGGAATATTTTTTTTTTCTTTATAGATTATTCAGCTGATCGAAGGCAAAGCCTCTGCTTATGTTTTCGCAAGTCCTGGCTGTAAGAAGTGGGATACTTGTGCTCCGGAAGTCATTTTACATGCTGTTGGAGGTCAGTCCATTTAGCTTATTAGGGAATTATAGTTTTCATACATATAATTTCTATGTTATGGCAGGATACACTATGTCAGTAAAATTACTTTACCTAGACTCTTAGGATATAAAATCTAGAAAGAAATTTAGAGAATATGCAGTCTAGCTGCTTCATTCCGTAGGTGAGAAAATCAATTTTCAGCAAAATTCAGTTTCTAGTTATAGTTTCTTTTTGGAACTTTGATCTACATAGCTAATTTAATTTAGCCTTTTTATTACAGCATTAATACTTTTCAGGTTTTTTGTGGGAGTTTTTTCTTTGAAAAAGTACACTGTTCATCATCATTGTCATCATCTCACTTTGTTTCCTGTAAGCTTATATTTCTGAGAGCCTCAGTACATGTACATAGATCACACAGTTAGGATTTATAAAAATCTGGCTGAAAATATATTATACATACCTACATCATAAGATTATGTTTCAAATAGACATTCACATATAGTCTTAGTAAGTAGTACTTTTTAAATTACTTGTCAGAAATTATAATAAACAGATCACTGGATTTTTTTTAACATTTTTGTCATTCCTCCTAATGATTCATCAATATCTCATCATATTGCTTAATAAAGAAGTTAAATTCTTCCTCATTGTCTGTTCTATTAAGATCCTAAATGAGACTATAGTATATTAACAGTTACATTTTGTGAGCATCCATCATTTAAACGTTGCCAAAGAAATTACTGATAATAAATGGTAGAATGAAGAATATATACATATATATATATGGAGCTCTGGTAGCGTAGTGGTTATGAATCGGGCTGCGAACCTTAAGGTCAGCGGTTCGAGACTACCAGCCGTTCCATGGGAGAAAGATGAGGCTTTCTACTCCCGTAAAGATTTACACCCTCGGAAACCCTGTACAGGGTCGCTATGGGTCGGAACC